AGAAAAAAATATATACACACTTCAGAGGATGCTGTAGGACATACACAATATATCTACTATTGTTGAGTTTGCCTCACAACTCTCCACTGTTAGAGTAACATATAGTACCGCTCTCCAGCTAACTGTTGCAGATTCTTTAACCGTGTTTCCCAAACTATGGCCTTCAGAATGCTTTCCCTTCTGCTATTTTAAACAGCTCTTATGCCAATATGTGGCATTTTGAGTATTGTTTTTTTAATGTTCAATCAATATCACTACACCTTTATTTGACATATCCAAGCAACAGATTGAAAACTGGCCAGTGCCAGGTCCAAGTACTCGAATTGTATTCCTGGTTCATCCACATCACAGGTGTGGCCTGCATGTCATACACACAGCAGCTTTTTCTGACTGAATTTTGTTCCTTGTCATGCAAATAGGTAATGCTGAAGCAATTAAAAAACAAAGGCACGTTGTAATGCAGTAATGGAAGTTTCTGGATGCCAACTCTTTGACACAGAGTCCTTATTCCTTTAAATCTGTGTGCACACACTTGTGGGAGTGACCCACTCAATTCCTTCCCTCTGTACTCAGTCCCTGTTCATCTAGCCAAATGTGTGTGTGTTTCTCTTTTCCGTGTCCATCTCCATCATGGAAAAGGAAAAAGTTTGGTTGCTGAGTGGAGGAACTGGGGATAAGAAATTAAAGTAAGAAAGAGACCAAGAAGCAGAAATAGATTGTAAAGCTGGGAGCTAGGTGGGCACCATTCTCTCTGATGGAGGCAGTGAACCAAGTGTTCTTTCTTGAATAAAACACAAAAAGAGCCCTTTTCCCCCCTTCTAGTCCTTAAAAGGCTACATTTAACTTCATAAGAGATTACATGGTCAATATCAATATAAACTAAAATGTTAGACCAACTAGTAAAAACAAATTTTATTTTGAAAAGTTTGTTGCTTGTCATCTGGCAGGCTCAGTGGTTGCGTGTCGATCTATAAACCAGAAAATCAGTTTGTTCTGGTCAGGGCACATGTCAGGGTTGCAGGGTTGATCTCCAGTAGGGGGCATACAGGAGGCAGCCAATCAATGATTCTCTCTCATTATTGATGTTTCTATCTTCCTCTCCCTCCCTCTCTCTGAAATCAATTAAAAAAAATAAAGTGTTTGTTGTGGGAAGGAATCCTATATAATAAAAACCAAATAGGCAAATTGACCAAACAGTGGAATGATTGGGTGGGGCTGGCGAGCAGGCAGCCAAGCCAGCCAAGGCAGGTGCCAGCAGGCAGAGGAAGGCAATGGCAATGGGGGGTGGCAGTGGCAGCAGGGTGATGGGGGGTGGGGCCGGACACTCGCTGGCTAGCGCCATCTCCTGATAGACCCATGAGTCGCCTTCTAGAGAGAGGCCAGACTGCGGCTTCAGCCTGTTCCCTCAAGCAGTTGGACATCCCCCAAGGGCTCCTGGTCTGCGACAGGATGTAAGCCGGGCTAAGGCATGCCCCCCACCTCCCAAGTGCACAAATTTTCCTGCTCCAGGCCTCTAGTAAGTATAGGTAAAAAAGGCAACAAAATAAAAAAAAACTCCTATGGTACATCTACACAATGGATTACTATGCTGCCATCAAAAATAAGGAATTCTCATCATTTGCAGCAACCTGGATGGAATTGGAGAACATCATGCTGAGTGAAATAAGCCAGTCAATGAAAGAGAAACACCACATGACTTCACTTACTTATGGATATAAAGAACATTATAAACTGAAGAACCAAAAGATAGATATAGAGACAGTAAAGCAACAAGCAGACTGTCAAATTACAGTGGGGAGGTTAGGGAGATCTGGGGGAGATAAGAGATCAACCGAAGGCTTATATATATGCATATAAGTACAACCAATGGACACAAAACTCTGGGGAGGGAGGGCACGCATATGTACAAAGATAATAATTTAATTAAGAAAAATTAAAAAAATTTAAATTGATTTTAGAGAGGTAGAAAGAGAGAGAAACATCAAAGATGAGAGAGAATCATTGATCAGCTGCCTCCTGCATGTCTTCTACTGCAGGAGGATGGAGCCTGCAACCTGAGCATGTGCCCTGACTGGAAATCAAAGTGATGCTTATCCACTGAGCCACACAACAAACACTTTAATACAACAGTTAGTGAGTCTTAAGTTGGGCTAGTTACAGGATCATGCTGGGCATTAGTTGAATGAATGCTGGCATATTTTTCTTCTCTGTCACTTCAATTAGAACGGAGTCTTTTTCTGATGCAAGAAGATACTTTAAGGAGGACATGACCAGATGCCCTCTAAATTCCCTCTTAATCCTCAGATTCTGTGACTGAGGCTTCTTCAATTTTGCTTAAAGTACACATATACTGAAGTCTTGTCATTCCAATGCAATGAGTTCATCACGTTATTTAAAGGAAATTTCATTTACACACACACACACACTCCCCATTTCCCTTTTCTTCTAGAAAATTGCTTCTTCAGAGGGTGATTATAGAGGTTTCAAAGTGGTTTATCTACCCATGCTGTTTATTTTCTCATCTGACATGTTAATCTCCTCTCTATTTTGTCAGATAATCCTTTAGTTTTCCCCATCGGTATAAACAAATGTTTCCAGTTATAGAAATGGCAGCAATATCCCACATTCCCGAAGACCATGTAGAATTCCTGACAAGGCACAGCCCTTTGGAACTCTTAGCACGAATATATGCAAAGGCTGGCTCAGCTGGTCAGTTCCTTTGATGACATGGGCAGAGTCTGAGTACATGGGAAGTAAAAGAGCTTTGTGTGTAGACCAGTGATCAAAACTGATAATCAATCAAACATTGACCTCCCTCAGAGATGTTCACTGATACAAAGTATAAAATTTTTGTAAGCAGAGTGACAAAGCAAACACAGGAATCAAACATAGTCTATTTTTCGTGGTCACAGACTCACTCCATTTACTAAAACTTAACAATAGCTAACACCCTTGTATGTGTCTCCATTTTAACATATTTTAGTCACTAGCTGGACCTGTCTTTCTTGCACAAATAGTTAGTGTAAAAGATTTAGGACTTTAATTAGGGAAGAATTACAAAGTATTAAACTCTGAGTAATTAGATTAAAGTTTATAAGGTCAAATCCTCAAATGTCATATCAATCATATCACACATACTAAGATATATAAATTAGATGCCCAGATACTAATGCAGGCAATGTTATTTTTGCCTAACTTTGTGCTGAACTTTACTAAAGGCTCCTCTAGTGCTTTAAAAAATACAGAAACTTCTTGAACAGAAATCAAAGATACTCCAAATGCTTATTGTCAAAACTCTGGAAAAAGATAATTTCTATCTTCCGTATTTTAAAAATGGGTATCAAATAATTCAGGTTAGTAACTTCAATCTTCTCCATTGAGCTATTAAAATGGAAAAAATTTCAAGTTCTAAATCTAATAAAGACGTACACATTTAAATAGAAAATGGCAATTTATTTTCTATTACACTTTTCTGGACAAAAGGAGATGAATTTTTTCCTCCTTACTTTCTTATAACAAACATTATCAGATTTCTTTTAAAAAGCATAATAAAACAGAACTGTTGTTGAGAAGACTACTTCTTTATGAATGGCATAAACCATAGTCCAATTAAAATAACACTTAATACAGATTCGCCCTAATGGACGATGTTGTCAACTTTTACATATTAGTACTTTTCATATCACTTCTGGGTGGCCTAAACCCATTTATCCTCAACATGTCGTCTTCATTTTTCTTCTCTAGAGGTTCCTTTACTTAAAATAATGGCTTGAGGAAGATTATGAGACTTAGTGGCTTTGTGCTCTTTTCTAAATGTTGTGCAAAGTTGGGCTGGTTGATAAAGTAACTCATTAAAATGCCCTGCAGTTTGCGAGACCTTGATTCCTTTTGTAGCTAAATATAGAGTCCATTCTTTCACCAGCCACTGCAGAGGCTGAGAAAGTCCAGAAAATAGATTACATTGAGTGTTACTGTTCAGAAGAGATTTACATTTAATGCTGTTGTTATAGGTAACGTATTTCCTTAAGCAAAAATCTCGTTTACTCAATGGTTAGAGGAAATATTGAATTTCATAGCCAAAGTTCCTTTTTCTGTAGAAAAGATTTTAAATCTGCTTGATCACTACATTTCAATTTTTTCTTATAGACACGCATGTTCCATGATTTAAACTTTTTTTTTTAAAATATATTTTATTGATTTCTTACAGAGAGGAAGGGAGAAAGATAGAGAGCTAGAAATGTCGATGAGAGAGAAACATTGATCAGCTGCCTCTTGCACACCCCTACCGGGGATGTGCCCGCAACCAACATACATGCCCTTGGCCGGAATCGAACCTGGGACCTTTCAGTCCGCAGGCCGACACTCTACCGCTGAGCCAAACCGGTTTTGGCGATTTAAACTTCTTAAGTTCATTTAAAGTCAGAAAAAAAAATTCAAGAGGATAAGAACAAGCACAAAGTAATAAAAAACAAACAAACAAAAAAACAGTTTTGCCATTAAATTTTTTCCTGGATAACTTAGCAAATATTTGTCCTTTCCATTTGTTTCAACACTGCAGAGACCATATACTCATGACCCTCTGGTGAAGCAATGTGCATATAAGTGATAAAACATGGAAACCAGAACACGGAAATGTAGATAAAACTTTTAAAATCTTAGTAATACTACAACACCTTCTTTCCTTATTTATTCTGTCAACGTCCATTCCACACGAATTCACATTTTGGTTCCAGGAGGCCATGAACTGTAAGCCCTAATCCCAAAGCCAGTGTCTTCTGGTGGCAAACTTGTGAAAATCTTCTGGAAGACTAATAAAGTCAGATTCCGATTATCTGTTTTCTGGATTCAGGGGCCATGGAAATAGAAAAGGATAAAAACAAGGCATGCTTTATTTCTGAGGTTTCTTGAACTGGGAAGTAGAAAAATAGGTGTTTTCCTTTGGGTTTTTTTTGTGGCCGAGAATGGTGAGGCTGGGATTTCTGAGAGCACTCTCACTTTCCTCAGTCTTTAAGGGAGTGGTAGGCTTTGGCAGTCCGGCTGTTGACAAAATCTGTCTTCTTAAACTGAGCCTTTGGAATAAGCAAACAAAAATGTGAATGGTAACAACATTTTCACACAGAAAACTGCCGTTCTTAGTGATTTCCCACCGGGGCCAGACAAGTGGGCTATTAGGACCTGGCTCAGCTAACTAGGACACATGCCTTTTGAGCGCTCTTACCTTCTTGTAGGCATTGTGGAGCTCCGTGTGTGACCACAGGGCATATAAGAGAACAGAAGCGGCTTTGCTTGCTTTGTTGGAGGCAGAGCTGAAAGGAGAAAAGGACATTCCGAGATCAGTGAGAATGAGTCCGAGGCTCGGAGCCGTTGGATGATCTGTCAATCTTCTTTAACTGCCATTGCTCAGTAGCCATCCATTAAGTCAGGTTATTCACAAGGAGAAGAAAATCAAATGGTAAGCTTCAGGCCAGGAATCACTTTTATAATGATATATTTTTAAATATATTTTATTAATTTTTTTTACAGAGAGGAAGGGAAAATAGGAGAGTCAGAAACATCGATGAGAGAGAAACATCCATCAGCTGCCTCCTGCACACCCAGTATTGGGGATGTGCCTGAAACCAAGGCACATGCCCTTGACCGGAATTGAACCTGGGACTTTTCAATCCACAGGCCAACGCTCTATCCACTGAGCCAAACCAGTTTTGGAGAAAGAATCATTTTTAAAATTTTTATTGATTTCAGGGGGGAAGGAAGAGGAGAGAGAGATAGATACATCAACGAAGAGAGAGAATCGTTGATAGCCTGCATCCTGCATGTCCCTCACCAGGGATTTTGACCTCATCCAGGCATGTACCCTAACCAGGAATCAACCATGACCTCCTGGTTCAAAGGTTGATGCTTAAGTACTGAAGCATGCTGGCCAGGCTTGAAATTATTTTGAGAAAAATCTTTTAAATGTTTTTTATTGATTTTCAGGGAGAGGAAGGGAGAGAGAAACACTGATGAGAGCAACATCATTGATTGGCTGCCTCCTGCTGGGGATTGAACCCACAACCTAGGCATATGCCCAGACTGGGAATTAAACTGTAACCTCCTGATTCATAGATTGACACTCAATCACTGTGCCACACCAGCCAGGCGAAAAACTCTTTTAAAACCACTAACAGTGCTAATAAATAAATAGTCTATAGAGCAAACTTTTGCTATTTATAAACAATATGTTACAAATCCTTAAAATTATTTATAGAATACAATTTATATTTATATATTTATATTGTCACTTGTAGAATAAATATATTTGTATGTTTATAATGTGTGTGCATGTATTTTTTTTTATCATATACATATATCCTATATAATAAAAGTATAGTATGCAAATTATCCTCTTGATGGGGAATTCATCTGGGAATGCAAATGCAGGCAAGTGTGACTGAAAAATGATACTGAGTGACTCTATAGGTAGGAATAATTTTTTCAAGTTAATCAAATAAATTCTTGTTGGAGCATTTGTTAAAATAGGTTCAAAATGTCTTTGTTCTTGTGTAGAACAAATGTCAAATGTGTTCCTGTTTTAAATCCAAGTCACCACTGCATTTGACGCTATATTTAGTATTTAATGTTCTGCTTTTAAATTTGTCCTAAATTTCCTGTTTCTGGCTGAGGAGAAAATGCTTTCTTTGATCTTTTTCTCTTCTATCACCTGAACTTTCTTTTAACAAAGAAACATATTTTTTATCTTTCCTATCATAGGAGTTTGTAAACATGCAACTGAGAATAGAGAAAGCAAAACTGTATGGAGAAGCGCATGCTGGGCTCCTTCTTCAGCGAAAAGTCTTTCTCTTCCTCCCCGACCTGGCAGAGGGTAAGGCAGATCGGCACCCTACAGAATTTAGTCACCTCATGGATTTCTCAGACTGGCTTGTTTATAACCGAGACACTAAATAACCCATGAAAGCTATGGGTCTCTAATATTTAAAACCGGAAAGAGTTCAACAGCAAGTGAAGGGTGACCGAATTTACCACCCCAAAATATGCCTCTCTGGCATGGGATTATTTTAGGCTGATTAATTTTAAGAAACAGCAGACCTAGAGAAAGTTCTGAAAACTGAGTGGAAGTTACCCTTGAAGAGACATTTATAAGGAAAATCTCCATTTGTCAGGAGTATCTGTACCAGAAAGTGAGGGTGACAAAATCTTTAGAAAGTTTGACCAATGGAGAAGGCAATGACTTCAACCTGCCTAACAACCCTTGTTTACTGTGCTTTTCCTGGGAACCCCCCAAACTGGCCTCCCCTCTTCCCCAGCATCTTTTGTTGGTGGCGTGGGCCATTTCTAGGAGTTACTCAGTTTTCCTGGGTCTCTCCCAAGGATACAGGTCTACATGTTATCAAACTTCCTTTGTTTTTCTCCTGTTAACCTGTCTGTTTTATTGCAGGGTGTCTCAGCCAAGAACCTAGTGATACCGTTGTAATTAACCGAGTTATTAACAACAGGAAAGGAGCAAAGGGAAGGCCAAATGTTATAGATGTGTCATTTAGGCAGTTTCACCAGGAAGTGAAAGCTTTCCACTCCCCGGGGAGCCGCCAGTCTATTCCCTACAGGTTGCTGGAGGAAGGCACTGAACCCGTGAAGTTTGGGTGACATTGCAAAGGTACTTGTTTGTCAGTCACACCCAGGAAAGGGTCCTTGGCCAGGATGGGCGTGGCCACTGCGAGCACAGGAAAATTTAATCCCCTAAACAAAAGCGTTAGCTCTCTTGTTGTTTTCTTGGTTCCTCTTATGCTCTTAGCGTGCTGTGCTCTTGGGTGACTCCTGGTTTCGGGTCTCTCATACTCCTGCTTCCTGCATTCACCCACATGACAACCCCTACACACAATGGACTAATGGGCTGTGTAATTAGCTGCTGCTGACCTGGACCTCACTGCAATGTGGGATGGGAACTGTGGACACTGACTCTGCTTTCAGCTCTACCGAAGCCCCAGCTGCACTCCTTCAAGAGCAGGATTCAGGGAAATGGGACTTTGGAAACCTAGGGATGTAATTCACGGCAAATAAAAATCACTCATCCTCCTGTGTGAGATTAAAAAAGTTCTTTTTCTTGAGATATCATAAGGACGCCATCCTCAATATCTCAATTCCCCCAATAACACTAGAAGGATAGAGAAAAAAGTATTTTTCCTCCCCTTCACAAGGGTGTTATATGTATAAAATTTGTTTATAAGTTGGCTGTTGACACCTGGGAATTCATTTATTCAAAGATAAAATGATATAATGATAACTGGTCCCCAGGCTAGCCCACGTGTAAGGATTTCAACCTAGAATGAAACCAGAGGATACGAAATAGAGAATATCATGCATGCCCCCTCAGAAGAGAACTTATGAACTGAGAGACTGACTGCCAGTAAGTGTCTGGTTAGAGAAGACTGAGACTCCCCGGTAGCTTGCTGCAGGAAGGGTTACCAGCACTGTCATTTCTCTGCTATTCCTGAATGAACTCAAATTCTGGGAATCTGAGCTTGCCTCAGTTAATGTCTTCATTTAAGTTGATGCCATAAATTACAGGTCAGCTGCACAACACTTTAGCAAGCAAGATATTCTTTGTTGACTTTTTCTCTTTTCTTTTTTTAGGCAGGGCATGTGAGGACTGGCTCACAAATGGACACTTGGGGCAACAAAGAAATAACAGATTAGCTCATCCATATGTTGCTAAGCTACAAGAAGTTCGCAAAAGTGAAGGTGCTAAACAGGGGTAGTTAGATAGTTATTAATAAAGAGGGGGAGACCAAAGGGATTCAGACATTACGCTTAATAAACTAGGGAGCTGAATCAAATATTAAGCTTAATAAACTGGGAAGCTAATCGCACATTGGGTCTGCTACACTAGGAAGTTACAGCATCCCATTAACTCTCCAAGCAACCAGGAAAATCTTCCTGGGGGGGTGCTGCCTGATGATACCAGATTATGGGATGGAAGAGGAGAGAAAATTCCTCTGCTCAGCACATGCACAGTTGAAACCAGATGATGCAACAGGATTCTTAGAAGTCAACATGGCACAGGGGTGGAGCTTCTACTTTGAAGCATGTGAAATAAAAGCCAGAAGGTGACTTAAAGAGGCAGACCCTAGCCTAGAAAACTCCGGGAAGAGACTCAGATTGGACAGGGGGCATGAAACCCTGTTAGGTCCAGGAAAGGGACTGGTTAAGGGCAGGGCCCAATGAGAGCCCAGGAGAAATGAGGAAGTGTTTTGGATGGCTTGAGGGACACCTTGCTAATTATGGAGAACCAAGAAAATACATGGAGGGTTGTCAGAAGTTTCAGGGAAGTTGCTGCTAGAGCCTGCCCGCTCTCTATATCCCCGAGGGTGTATTATTTCCCTTCACCCCAATACAAATCTTACCGCTACATTTAAACTTCTCCATGCATGAGCCCTTTGAAATTTCTTTCTTGAGACACTACAAAAGAACCCACTTTTACCAGCAACAATAGTGTGTACTCCAGTATGTCTGTTACGTCTGAGTACTCAAATAAGTAAAATCATATGGTCTTTTGAAAATTTGCTTAGAAGTTTGGATGACTACTGCAAAAAGTTGTTTCTGTTTTGCAGCAATAATTCTTTTCCCCCACAAAGACAGACCAACTGCTTTTTGCCAGGCTCTGGAAATAGGTGAATATTTTCTGCTCCTTTTAATTGTGTGACTCTGAATAGGGCCTTCCCTCCCATGAGCTTTGCCAGTGGGGGGCTCAGAGCACAAGGGGTTTACACTGGGTGAGGCTGTGGTAGAGGGCACAGGTGATCATCTCTGCTCACCCTGTGTGGCCAACCACATGCTTGTTCATTACAGATAAAGTCCATTTGCTTTGCAACTCATTAGTACTGGGCTATAACACTTCTCTCTTTTCTAGATAGTTATAAAATTAAGTTGTCTTTAACAAATCACACAATTCAGAATTGTATAAAGAGAAAAAATAATAATCTTCATTTCCTCTTTAAATCCTATCACTCTAAATGAAGTAATAGTAATAATTTGATTATACAAGGTTTTTCATTCTCTTTGTTCCTTTTTATTTTATTACTAGAGGCCCGGTGCATGAAATTTGTGCACTTGGGGGGGTCCTTCAGCCCAGCCTGTGCCTTCTCACAGTCTGGGAGCCCTCAGGGGATGTCTGACTGATAGCTGCTGCACTCGCCAGCTGTAAGCCCTCTGGAAGTGCAGTGACCAACAGGAGACAGTTCCTGCAGTGAGTGTCTGCTCTCTGGTGGCCAGTGCATTGTCAAAGTGACCAGCCAGTCGACTGGTTGTTCGGTGGTCCAGTTGTAATGGTCACTTAGGCTTTTATATAAAAAAAGTATTTTAAATCCTCATCCGAGGATATTTTCTTATTGATTTTTTTAGAGAGAGAGAAAGGGAAAGAGAAACATCGATATGAGAGAGAAACATCGACTGGCTGCCTCCTATACTTGGCCCAATAGGGGATTGAATCCACAATCCAGTTATGTGCCCTGGCTGAGAATCAAACTTGCAACCTTTTGGTGTATGTTCCAACCAACTGAGCCATGTGGCCAGGGCTCTTCCTTCCCTTTTAATGGGGAAAATTCAAAGATAGAAACTGGGATGTGGGATGATGTATATGCATTAGACCTTCTCTTCTCAAAAGGAAACAAGAAGTGGGAAGAGATGTGACAGAGGAAACTGAGAGAGGAAGAACATATTATGCTGCCTCCCACTTGTGTTATCACTACTTCTTAGCCACCTGGCCAACACAGCTCCACAGATTTCAGTGAAGGGGATTCCCTGTCCATAGTACTCCTACTCTGCCTACATACTGCTGTTCTTAAATCACAGCTGTTGTTCTGGGAAACAAGTGAATTCATCAGGTCAGTGAAATGCTGGAAGCTCTGGAGTTTGACCCCTTCTAACTGCTGCCTGTGGCCCACAGGGATACAGATTTACACTCGGGAGTGGTGGTGGGAAAGGGGAGACAGCTGCTGGGCAGATGCTAAAGGACTTACGTATCGCCGGCGCTGATAGCCATGATTTTCTGCAGGCCCCCGGTGTTGAGAAGGTCCCGGGCATTCTGGTAACTATTCTGGATTAAGTTGTTCAATGTGTAACAGGCAGAGGCTGTGGTTTCAATGAGAAGCTCAGTACTTGGAACTGTGTCAGGAATTATGGAAACCAAATCAGGTAGAGTTTCTTTGGCTACAAAATGAAAGAAAAAGAACACTTGATTAAAAAGACTGTTTTTTTTAATCTCAATATCCCAGGAAGTTTTGGGGAAAGAACATTTTAAAGAGGAAATACAGCATATAACATCTCTAATACTGGAGTTTTGAAAGGATTTTAAAAAAGATGTATTTGCTCAATACACTGGAAATTTTTTCAGAAAGGAATTTGATAGAAATATCAAGAAATTTAAAAATTTTCACATTCTTTGACTCAGTAATTCTACTTCTGGGAATTCATACTAAAGGGATCACTTTAAAAATAGGAAAAGTTTAATGTATAAATCTTTATTATAGCATTATATATAAATGAAAAATTATAATAAGCCTAACAGAATATAATTAAAATACATCTGTAAAGAATTTTATGCAAAATATACCCATGAAGAACCCAAATAAAAAGAAAGTATTTATATTAATATTATATATAAATTTTTATATTTATTTACATAAAGAACACATAATATTGTAATATTAGGAAACAAAATACACATAAGAAACCTTAGAAGCAGGTGAATCTAATAGAATCAGGGGCATAGAATGGGAGGGGATTGATAATTCTCTGGGGGAAAGGGGTGTCTGTGTGGGGGGTATGGGAAGAGACTGGACAAGAATCATATACCTATGGATGAGGATACCAGGGGTGGGGTGGGGAGAGGGGTAAGGGCAGAGGGTGGAGTGGGGACCAGGTGGAGGGGAGCTATGGGGGAGGGGAAGGAGAAACAATTGTAATAATCTGAACAATAAAGATTTATTTTTTTAAAAAAGAAACCTTAGAAGCAGTACATTAAAATATTAATAGTTGTTTTTCTATAACAGTATTAATAACAGTATTAATTTTTTAAAAATGATCTGTACTGCCCAAAGTTTTTTTTAATACACAAACAATACTATCATTTAAAAAGGATAGATTATTTTAAATTTATTTTTTACTAACTACATAAGTTCTTGGTAGCAGGGTTTTAGTTTGGCTTCTTTTGTAAAATAAGAGAAATAATAATGATTGATGATTTCATTATGACTTGCCCTATGGTATATATTTTGGACAGTATGAATTTGTACTTGATTTGTTGCAATAATTCTTTTCACATATGCTTTCTCTTTTTCTTAAGTAGATTGGGCTCTTCTTAAAAGATATGGAACAGCGGGGGAAGAGATCAACCAGTGAACTCATATGCATATATGCATAACCCATAGTTACAGACAATAGATAAGGTGGTGAAGGATTGGGGGAGAAGGTAATGGGGACAAAAAGGACATATGTAATACTTTCAACAATAAAGATTTATTTAAAGAAAAAGATATGGAACATATCTTGCTGCTGTTGCTCCTCAGAGCTCTTTAATACAGTGCTGTGTATAATGTGATTTACAATAAACTATATATGTCTGCTTAATTTTATTATTTTTTCACCTGAGTTTATGTGGCACCTTGAACTGTATTTCTCTGAGTCTACATTGTGATCAGTTACATGACTATCTGAATTCCAGATGTGGCTACGGGTCCCTTGATGACAGTCATATTATTCGTTTCCGGATGTCTATCTTCAACTGCCATGCTTATAATAGAGACCTTGGATAACAGGAACTGAACAATATGGAAAACTTTGATGACACCTGGGCCTCACTGACAGGAAAGGCATATCTTCTCCTCAAAGGCCTGAACACTTCCTTTTTGACTGTGTTTAAGCATCGCAGCAGAGTGTGAAGGGCTTAGATCTCATTCTCTGAGGCCACCCTTCTTTAGTTTAGTCCTGTCTCTGCCACTTAATGGCTGTGTGGTATAGGCAAGCTACTTAATCTCTCTATGCTTGGTTTTCCCTAATTTGTAAAGTGGAGTAATAATAGTATTTACTTCAAGGGCTGTTTTGAGGGATTAAATAGGTTAATATGTGTTACTGCATCAAAATACCCTGTGCCTCGTTAGCTCTCAACAGAGACGAATTACTATCAGAAGGCTTCCTCTTTTTAATAAGTTAAACCACAGAACGAAAGGCCTTGAGAACATGACATTTCCTTACACTCAATTCAGGTTGAAAACATTAAAGTCAATCTGTGACAATCACAACAGAAAATGCTCAGTCTCTCTGAAGGTGCAATGACGGCTGCTGAGACTGGTCTGCCCACAGTGAGAACTATCACTGATGAGTGAGCCCCACCTTCCCGCCTCACCACCACCAGCAAGTCCACTTCCATAGCTCAATTTTAAGGTTGAAAGGTAGGGTCATGTCTAAGGAGTGAGAATTATAGAAGATAGAGTCTTTTAACATTTTGTGTCATGTTTTTTTTTTCTTTTCTTAGAAAATATAACTGTTTACATCAGCAAAGCTTGACACTCCAATATAGGAAGGGAGGGTCTCTGTATTTCTCTTCCTTTCTTATTATAATATAAGAATTAATTCTTTTGTGTACTCACAACTGTAAACCTACTTTGCCTCACCTGGTGTATACACACATACACATACACACACACACAGTGGGCCTCCATAAATACATTCACTTACTCACTTTGGGACAATTAAAATTGGATTTTTAATAGTGAAGTCAAAAATTAAAGGCCTTATCATAATATAGGAAGGTTATAGATCAATGTTATATATTTTATTGATTTTACACAGAGAGGAATTGAGAGGGACAGAGAGTTAGAAACGTCGATGAGAGAGAAACACCTACCAGCTGCCTCTTGCACCCCCCCCACTGGGGATGTGCCCGCAACCAAGGTACATGCCCTTGACCGGAATTGAACCCGGGACCTTTCAGTCTGTAGACCGACGCTCTACCACTGAGCCAAACCGGTTTCGGCTTTTTAAATATATTTTATTGATTTTTTTACAGAGAGAAAGGGAGAGAGATAGAGAGCTAGAAATGTCGATGAGAGAGAAACATCGACCAGCTGCCTCTTGCACTCCCCCTACCGGGGATGTGCCCACAACCAATGTACATGCCCTTGATGGGAATCTAACCTGGGACCTTTCAGTCTGCAGACCGATGCTCTACCACTGAGCCAAACCGGTTTCAGCTTTTTAAAAATTTTTAATTTTATTTTATTTTTAATTTAATTTTATTACTTTTTAAAAATTTTGTACAGAGAGGAAGGGAGAGATATAGTTAGAAACATCGATGAGAGAGAGTCATCGATCAGCTGCCTCTTGCACACCCCCTACTGGGGATATGCCCGCGACCAAGGTACATGCCCTTGACCGGAATCGAACCCGGGACCCTTCAGTCCCCAAGTCGATGCTCTATTCATTGAGCCAAACCGGTCTTGGCCCAATGTTATATTGTTGAGGGAGATTTTATGTAATGGCTAAAAACCCAAGACATGGATGTTTGAAAATTTCTGAAACGATGAATGAATGTGAATTGAGATGCTAGAGAGGTATCCAAATACTTCCTGTTGCTTTCACACACTGTACACTGTTACCTGATCCTGGGAAAACACTGCTAGGTAGCGATTACTAATCTCTCCCTGTTTGGAGCAGTTAAATGACCAGTCTCAGTAACCTTGGTGGCACTGGCAGATGCAGGTCCATGTCCTTCGTAGGAGGCCTATTACTCCGTCACCACACCAAGCTGCCTATCTTCACATTAAAAAAATATATATATATAAGTGTTACTTCTATTTCTTTAAATTGAAATAAAATGTGATGCTTGCATTCCGGGCCAGACTTGGAAAGTTTTACCTGGCCGTGAAGTCCCTCAAGAGAAATACAATACATGCATTTCAAACAGATTTTCATTTATTCCTGCTTAATACGCTGAACTAAGACAGGTCCTTTTTACTCAAATTATATATTTGACTTAAAGCCAATTTAAAATGTAAAAACTGTATTTATCTTGCTGAAGCCTTATCTCACTATTGCCCTGACAACGAGGGGCGGTTTGTTAGTGAAATCATCTTCCATAAACTGCGGGGCTACAGCTTCATCTTCCCCGCGAGAGGACCTGAGCCGAGACCTGCAGCCCTTCTGCCTGGAAGGCACATGCATAATATTTTCATCATCATATTTTCATAAAGTTTTAAAGATGCAGTCAACATCTTATTTGGAAAAAGAAAAAAGTCAAAGGATTATGCACCCCACTGAAGCGGAGCACAAAAGCCACATGAGACAATGGGAACACTCCCATAACGCTGGGAGTGCCGGTGGCAAAGCTTCTTTTAGATCCGCTGAAAAACTTCCAGGCTCGTTACATTTATAATGGGCATGAAACCACCTGTCCAGGGTTGGGCTGCCTGCTGCTGCCTTTGGAAATGACATTATTAAAACATAACCACAGACTTCAATATCTCCCATGCCGTGTGTGTGTGTGTGTGTGTGTGTGTGTGTGTGTGTGTAATTTTAGAATTCACTCCATTAAATAAACCACAAAAATTTGTTTATAATTTCAGTGAAGTGACTACTTTTAGAGCATTAGGAAGCATACTTACTTTTGACATTATCTTTCCATTATGTCATTTTATAGTTTTTTACTTGATTCACAGTTATCAGATATTTCTAAGTATTAAGCAAGTAAATAAAACATTGTTATGTGATAGTGTCACATAGTTATCATCCTTGTCAATACAGACTTTCATAAAAAGGAGCAAATATGTTTCATTGTATTTATTCTAAAACCATCCATGCTGAATCTTCTGCATAATTAAAATGAATAAACAAAAATGCTGGATATGAAGAAAAATCCAGTAAGAGACCCAGTTAGAAAGCCTAACTTGATGCCTGGGTGCACAAGAGTCAGGTCTAGTTACCACACTTTTCTCTTTATACACATTTTCAGCCCATCATTGTAAAAAGAATGTAATCAGGACAATGCTTCATTGCATTTGTATTTCCAACATGGTCACACTACATGTGGCCATTCTCACTGACTCACCAATTTCATTGCACAGGGACAGGTTCCGAGACAGGTTCCTCAGCAGGGAGACTGCGGTCTTCTTCACACTCGGGTCCCCAACGTGCAGCATCTTCCGGGTGTGCTGCAGGCCATTTTCCTTCTGGACCACGGTGTGCGCTACTGACATGGGCATCTGTTTCGTGGGACACATCATGTAAATGCTATTGCATTTGACTTCACGATAATACTGTTTCTGTGGATGCTAGAGATTGAGCAAGACGTTTTCAAAACTAGAACTGTGACTAAATCAGCCTAAAGGTACTGTCTTTACATTCTTTTTAGGGTTTTAATTGAATTACTGGTAAAAACAGTTTATGCAGTGGTTTTTAATATAGCATTGGATTTAGTTAGCTACTATATTTTTTTGCATCAGTTTATAAATAAAATGGGCCTGTCGTTGTCTTTCCTTTCTGTTGATCAGTCTACCTTTAATTCACAGTTTCAGTTCATCACGGTGAAATGAACATGATAAAGACAATGTTTTGGTATCACTATTGTAGAATCAAAGCTACGTTTATTGGTTGTTGGCTTAGTCATCTCTTCTGTTTTGTCTTGTTCAAATTTTAGCATTTTAACATATTTTAATCAAGTTATTTGTTTCCAAAAAAACCAGCTTATTATGATAGAGACACTGGGCTTTTTAAAAAAGAAATGCGTTGCTAGTCAGACTATCTGTAAGTCCATGCTCTGTGTCAAAGGCTCATGTGCTAATTGCAGGTCCAGGTCCTCTAGAGCAAACCTCTAGAATTAGGCTGGTCGCCTACTTTCACCGGGCATCTGAGTTCTGATGAGGCTCTTCCTAGCATCAGCAAGCCTCCAGCAATATCCAGGCCTTAGCTTGTGTGTGGGCAACTTTATAGAGTTCTATTTGAAGCTAATTTGAGGTCACCATGCCAGAGATTTCTGCAATTCATGACCATTCTTCAGGGTGTATCTTCTCTGTTTATCTTGTTCAAACACCTCTTGTTTCTTTTCGCCCCCCTCCCCCCTACCATGCCCCGCTCCCTACAGATTATGTCCTTCTTACATTCCCCACTGTACCTTCTAGAGCAGGGCTCTTAATACAGGGTCCAGTATGGATTTCAGGGAGGGAACAGATGGCCTTTAAAACTACTCTTGTGTTTATCTTTCTCAGGAAAAGGGTCCATAACTTTTATTACTCAGTCTCCTTGATTCAAAAAAGGATTCAATAACCACTATTTTAGAATGTTTGTTTTACTGTAAACACTTTATCTTTCACTAATTCACAAAACTCCCCATTAGATTATTTGCTCTCCTCTGAGAAGAATCTTCCCCTGTTGCCGTCTAGACAGGAGGCAATTTATGTCTAGATGTTGGTGGGCTTAGGATTCCTCTCTCTTCCCGATGACTAGACTAGATATTTGCCTTCCGTCATATGCAAATCTTTGCTCTCCTGTGTACCTGCCATCCAGCTCTGTCACCCACATAGCATTTTCTTTGTCATATCAAGCCCTACTGGTCTTTTCCCAGCATCCACTGGGGCTTTAGAGGGCTCAGAGCCTTCTCCTCCTCCTATCCATTGTAGATGACCACTTCAATTACCTCTCAGTCCCTAGGCTTCCTAAAGGTCCGTTATGAATACAGGTTTATGGAGTGGATTTTTTTCTGGAATCATGTATAATGGCTTGCTTCTCATGTTTTTCTACTTAGTGATTCTTTTTAAAAATTATAAAACCAAGTATTTTTTCAAAATCACACCATCTAAGCATAACAAAGTTTAAAAAAATCAGAAAAGGTATTCATAAAAGTAAAAACTTTAATAAAAAGCATCTCCTAACTTGCAAGAACAAGAATCCTTGTAACACTGTTACATGTTGCTAATAATCCTATATAAGAAAGAAGTAATATGCAAATTGACCATCACACCCTCACACAGGATGGCCCCCATGTGGTCACAAAGATGGCCACAAGATGGCTGGCAGGGGAGGACAGTTGGGGGCAACCAGGCCTACAGGGAAGGGCAGTTAGGGGTAACCAGGCCTGCAGGGAAGGGCAGTTGGGGGTGACCAGACCTGCAGGGGCGGGCAGTTGGGGTGGCCAGGTCTGGGTAATGTGCCCACATGTGAATTTCAGAGGCATGAATTTGAGCAGGGGAGGGTCACAATACTTCTGCCACTGAAATGGTAAAGGAGGAGTAGCATCTCAGTGGAAAATCAGAGTGTTTTACCAAAAAGAATGATAAATGCTGGGCAGGCAAACACAGCAGATGTCCCCTGCAGTGTGGAGTTGGAAAGGACATCTGTGCTTTGTGTCCAAGAACTTCAACTACACAAGAAGAACTGCTTCTCACTTACTTTATATGAGCAAAGTAAAAATATATAAAACAGTAAAAGCTTATTCCCACCTCTATATATTTTGCACCTTGCTACACATAGTTAGGGTTTCTATAAATATATAACTATTTGAACTAAAATTATTTGCCTTGATCATAAAATGATTAGAATAAACTCCCTCAAAATAATTCATGGTATGGCCAGCTGCCAAGTATCCATCCTTAAAGGGAAAAGCATCTTATAGATAATAAAAATATTATTTATTCTTTATTTGAGAAATCATATTCATTCTTTAAAAAGTTTACACAGAAGCTTGCTCTGTTCTGAATCAAATTGTACAGTACTAAAATCAACATTTATCTTAGCATTGTGGTTAAGAATATGTATGAACAACTTTCGATCTTTTTTATTTTCTATAAAATGTAGTTGTGCTCAAACAGAAATGGGAAACTACTAAAGAGACCTGAATGACACAGGGACATTAATTTATTATCTTACCTTCTCGTTTTCCCATGCTGAGCTTCCCAAAACTACTATCACTCTCCCAAACCACAGAAGCCCTCTTATTAACCACCAGCCAGCTTACAAGAAAATGTCAATGGAGAGTTTTATGCTAAGCAAAATAAGCAAGTCAGAGAAAGATAAGTATCACATGACTGCACACATTTGTGGAATCTAATGAATAAAATAACTGATGAACAAAATAGATCCAGAGATAAAGAAGCATGGAACAAACTGTGGAACCTCAGGGGGAAGGCAGAGGAGTTGCATAGGTGGGAAGAGATCAACCAAAGAACTTTCATGCACAGATGCATAACCCATGGTCACTGACAGCAAGGTGGTAAAGGCCTCGGGCAGAGGGTGGGGTGGGCTGGAAGAATCTCTATAATGTCATTTCTTTACAAAGTAGGAAAACAGACATGGTACTCACTGGGCCACTTCCTGCCGTGAGATTCTGGAGGGCTCCCAAAGATGCTTCCTGGGTGTAGCTTCGGCCACTTTTGGCGATCAAGGACAAATACATTCGGATCACGATGGAGTGCCACAGCCACTCCACACCCTTGGGGTTGCTCTTTTCCTCGGGCATGGGCATGTCCTGGTACTGCTAACAACACACACGATGAAATCTAGAATTAATACTTTCAAGGGATTTCTACAATTCTACACCCACACCAAGAGACTAGGAACACTGAGACCATCTAGAGAGACTCATAATTTGTATAGTAAGAAGCCCCTGAAATGGAAATGAAAACCCAAATGTGTATGATTCCCAATTGCTTCACTTTTAGCCCATGATGACCATTTCTGCCTAGCAACATCCCACATCCTCAAATTTCCTTTTCATTGTGAGAAAGGACTCAGGGCATAAAGCATAGGCTGCCCTAGAACAGTTTCCAGGCTGCTGGTAAATGAAAAGCTAAATTAGGCACAAACGCTCTGAAGATAAGAAACAGTCCAGTGAAGTGGCCCGGGATCACATCAGGATTCTAAATTTACCAGTTGTTCTCCAAGTTCACAAACACCACGACACCCCGAGGATTTGGAGAGGTCACATTCTTTCATAAAATGCAGGGTGAGCAGTATTCCTTCCTATGGACTTGCGTTTGGGATGTCTGAAGTTTGTTTTTAGAATGTCCAAATCTGAATATCTGGGCTGTTTTTAAATGTTGAAACAATTTATATATACCATTGGCTATGGTGCCTTAAGTCGATTTCCTAAGCAACAGGGCATGAAGCAGTCTGGTTTTAATGGCTAACAATGCAAATCTAGAGCTGGATTGCCTGGAACTGAATCTCGTCCCCTCTTAATTTGCTGAATAATTTTTTTTCTGGGAAAACTGATTAATCATTTTACAACTCTGTTTCCTCTTCAATATATGAAGGTATTAATCATACGCATTGTAGAGTTGATGTAAGGATGAAAATAACTCAAAATAATGCCTGGCATAAGGGTTAAGCAAAAGTGGGTCTACAATTGTCCATGTGAAAATCAATTCAATAATTAATAAATAATAATAATAGAATAAACCCTGTGCTTTGTGTACTCACAACTGGAAACATACTTTTGCTAACCCTAGCATACTAAGTACATAGAAAGGTACATACATAACCACTTTTTCTTTTAAAGTTCCCCCCTCCCTATCTTCCCCCACATACCTCTTTTATTTTCCTGCTTCGATTGCCAAAACACCCAATACTTTTGTTGTTGTCCATCTGGATATTCCGGTTTTGAATATAGTTACTTTGAGAATATTTCTCTGGGAGCTCTGCCTCCAGCTGGTAGGAGAGGTTATGAAGAATGCACACACAGTTCTCTGTGGCCTGAGAAAACACACAAATATTGATCAGATACACAAAGACATCCCTTTGCAAGTGTGATATCATAGGACTTACTAGGTTTTAGATCTTGCATGGTTTACTGGATGCCTGGACTATAATGAGCCGGGGGGAATAGAATGAGGATGGCCAGAAAGGCTAAGGCCAGACCATGAACGATCACAAGCACAGTGCTAAGGCGTTGAGGCTGAATTTCTTGAAACGTTAGAGAGCCCTTCTAGTTTACTTTTTAGAGTGGGTTCAGAATGTTCTGTATTTTATGTATATAATTTAGTAGCCATGTGAAACTGGAAAACAGGAGGAGAGGTTGTTTGTAGGGGCCAATCAAGAGCCGATTGCAATAATCAATATGAAAGTTGCACAAACTAGGACTACAGAGGTAGGCAGCATTAGGGAGGAATGATAAACCAAAGGGAATTTCACTGGTAGAATGGGCATGATTTATTGCTGTGGGATGTCAGGAAAGGCAGTTCGAGATTACCCATATTTCTATTTTTATTTGGTGGATGATGGTGATTATGAAGAAAGATTACACAGAGAAGGAGCAAGTTTGGGAGAAGGGAAGAGATGAATTTAAGTTCATTGCTAAACATGGAGCATCTGGGCTCCTTTTGAATATCTACACAGAGTTGTTAAAAAAATAGTTAGAAATTTAAGTCTGGAAAATATAAAAAAAAGGAGCTTGATATATTTTAATATTTTTAAGTGGGTACAGGAAATCCTCATCTCAATAAATGAGTTAAGGAATAAAGCTAAACCCAAACTACTACTTCAAGAATACTCTGGCCAAAACTGGTTTGGCTCAGTGGATAGAGTGTCGGCCTGCAGACTGAAAGGTCCCAGGTTTGATTCTGGTCAAGGGCATGTACCTTGGTTGTGGGCACATCCCCAGTGGGGGGGGTGCAGGAGGCAGCTGATCAGTGTTTCTCTCTCATTGATGTTTCTGATTCTCTATCCCTCTTCCTTCCTCTCTGCAAAAAAATCAATTATATATATATATATATATATATATATATATATATATATATATATATATTTTTTTTTTTTTTTTTAAAGAATACTCTGAAGAGTCTTAGTAAAACAATTCAGCTTGTAAGACATTTAACTCTTGCATCACCTTGTCGTCTGGCTGGTAATCTGCAATGGTTCCTCTGACATAATGGACCAGCGAATCAATCAGTCCATCACACCGTCTCATCACTTTCCTCCCATCAGGGCCAGCTGAACTCATGTTTCTGTCAGGAAAAACAACAACAACACAAAAAAAAAACCCCATTAAGCATATGCCATGTATCCAATAGGCCTCTGTTTCAAAGCTTTACTTGATGCTTCTTCCAAGGGTTTGGAAAACTAGCAAATTTGTTAAAGAGAAACAGTCTTGCCTTGTGGTCTCTATCAATTGTTCAGTGGTCATTAAATCTGTACATAGCTTCCAAATATATTCATACTAGAGGCCCAGTGTACGAAATTCATGCACGGGATTGGGGGAGGGGGTCCCTCAGCCTGGTCTGCACCCTCTCTAATATGGGACCCTTCAGGGGATGTCTGACATCCCTCTCACAGTCTGAGACTGCTAGCTCCTAACCGCTCACCTGCTTGTCTGCCTGATTGCCCCTAACTGCCTCTGCCTCGGCCCCCACCATTGTGGCTTTGTCTGGAAGGACTTCCGGTCTAATTAGCATATTACTCTATTAATAGTATAGATAACATGCCATCATCAATAAAAGGCTCTGCTTCATTCTAAGCAACAAAGTCATAGCATTATTTACTTAATCTTCACCCATTTTTGAGAGGGTACTCATATGAGGCAAAGATTTTGCAATTAAAAGAACAAATGACACAATCGACAGTGTGTAGTAGGACAGCAAAGTCCCAACTTGCTCTGTGACTTAACTCCAAGGTACAAAAGGTTACTTAAATTCATTGGGCCTCAGTTTCCTCATTTATAAAGATAGGGTGCTGGTCTCTATTATTTGAGGTTTTTTGTAGGTTTCAGTGTAAACTGTTACTAACAAATATTAAACCAAAAGCACTAAAATGTGATTATTCCATAATTAAAGTGGCAGAAAGTCATGAAAAATGCAGGGTTCCACAATGTGTTTGACCTAAGTAAAAAAACATGACCTATAAATATCTTTGCACTTAGTCTATTTCTAATTTTGCTAAGCTATGATACCTTTCTATAAGCAGTAACTAAATCCACAAGCAGAGATTGTTTCCTTACAGAGAAATGAAGTTTATGAAATATGGTAAAGTAATGCATTTGGGGATCATGTTTCAGATTCAGATCATGCTAATATTCAGGTATTATTGTTACCATGTTCCTTTGGATTAAGTTTTTCTTGTTAGCATTAACCATTAAAAAATACTCCCTCCCCCAAAATTGTTAACCTCCTTGTTAACAAAAATGGCAAAAGATCAATGCCTTTTGCCAACTTCAATTGCTAAGAACTATTACTAAAAAAATGTATCAGATTAGTTCCTTTTACTGGTAGGTAGAATATTCAAAGCACATTAAAGACTTATTTATAATGTCTCAATGTCATTTTGAACATCAAAAGAACTACAATTCTAAGAACTTTTGGGGTCTTATTTTCTTCATTAAAAAAAATACTGCCCTAAGTGATTTCAAAAAGAATTTTTGCTCCTCAATATTACTTTCAATTCATAATGTCAAAGAACAAATGTGCCTGGCATTATAGCAAGAACTGAAGGAAATAAGGGAATAACACACAGCACTGTGTGTTCTCTTCTCCGATGGAGATGACATCTATAGGGCAAAACTGATAATATCGGACTGTTTTTAACCAACAAAAATGTAATTTCATGATTCAACCCAATAATTGAGGAGTTAAGACAAATACACCTAACACTAAGGATACTAACAACTTAATGGTTGCAGAATTGATACAACCAATTTTTCATTTTAACAAAATCCCTCTGTGACCTCACTTCTTTTTTGACATTTCTAATTAAAGATTCCCTTCCTTACTTAATTTTCGCTGTACCTGAAAACCTTTGACACTTAAAAAAAATCCTCACCTGAAGAGAGAGGAAGGGAGGGGAAGTTTGGGGGATCAAAAGAAAATGGGGATCAAACCCACAACCCAGGTATGTGCCCTAACCAGGAATCAAACTGGCTACCTTTCGGTCCACTAGACAATGGTCACTCCAGTCAGGCAAATCTTTGATATTTGGTATATTCAAAAAAATAATGACTGGGTTCATAACCTGTTAATAAAACCATTTTACTAGCTGTTTTTTTTTTTTCCTCTCAAGAAATGATCATTTGAATCAAAATCCTCTATCTATTCTCTGAGCCTGTCTTCCTTATTTTACATATGGAAAAACTGAGGCCCATTGAGTGGGTTACTTTTCCAGGTAACAGCAATAGTGGTCAAGTCAGGATGGGAGAGCTGGTCATTATTCTGTGCTCTGGGCTGCTCCAGAGTAGAGCAAAGCTCACCTGACTTTCATTCAGTCTGCCATTTGCTTAGCAAATGCCATACATTCCCAATTCCAAGACAATGTTATCACATTTTAAAGCTCCCCCTTGACCTTTTCAACTTCTGGCTTGGAAAAATGGCAGTATTTTAAGACTGCTTTGACAAATCAAAGATCTGTCTTTCTCACTCGCTAAATCCACTACATACCTTACAGAAGGATGGCTTAGCTTTGTTCAACTTCAGGGTATTTATTTTGGGTGGGAATGGTAATTCAGTTTGGCAGCACTGACAGTTCACACGCACTAATTGTTGTCTTGTAGTTTGGTATTATCCAGACTCTCCTTGCTTGAAATGGACTTATCAGGGATTCCTGGCAGTTAGCTGATACTTTTGCTGACAGGAAAGCATATGGAATCCCACTGCTTCAGTATTTGGTCCTGCATATCAAAAATAGTTCCCACCTTGCTCAACCACCCAGAAATACGAATGACAAAGGTGTATTACTTTATAGCACTACATCCATGAATAGAAGTCACTAGTTAGAAAGGAATTTGTTATTGTACCATCCAATAATTATTAGAAATTAATATATCCATCATAAAGTATTATTCTCAATAGCTAATATTTCAGTTTGTGGGAATCAGAGAATTAATATGGCTAATCTTAGGAAGAATTGATCCTTTTTACAATGTACCTCCTGAATCCTGAGAAATACTTACCTATAACTGTTTCCTATGTGTAGCCCAATAGAGATTTAATATGGAAAAATATCTCAGAACTATAAAAAAATATATCAAAAACAATTATCTTCTTGAAATGTAAAAGAGAATGAGCATACAGAGAAGTTACTAAAAATGGATTATTAGATTTACCAATGAATATACTGGAGATGTTTAATTCAGTGTCTATTGTTTGAATTTGCTTAAACAATGAGTTTATTTTCGCCAGAAGTCTGGGTAAATACTAGTATATGAGTATCTTGTAAGAAACTAAAACTGTATACTATGGTATACTTAAGTTTAAACTTAAAAACCGGGTCCTTAGACTGGGAGTAAGAGGCTGCCCACCCCCTCAGAAGGGGGAAGTGGAGAAGAAGATAAAATAACTCTTCACATAAAGGCAGGATTACTGGGTCTGAATGAGAGGATGCAGCTGGAACTGTAATTTGTGTTTGAAATTAAGAATTTTTCCTGGTAATATGACTTGTAAGGGGTGAGAAGAATAGAATCTGAACTCTGTAGGTCTCTGAATAAAACTTCACATATTTAGGATTCAGGTGTTTCATCTGAAAGCAAATCCACTGATGACTCATCCCTGGACCACTTACCTCACATGTTCCTGAGTGTCACAGTGAAAGAGAGAGAGAGAGAGAGAGAGAGAGAGAGAGAGAGAGAGAGAGAGAGAGAGAGAGAGAGAGAGAGAGGGAGAGAGAGAATATGAATCAAACACTGCATCTTACCGGAATTAAGAGGAAGAATTGGATTTTTCTTCTTAATTCCAGTAACAGGATTGGCTGTGTGTGCGTGGCTACGGACAGGAGTGTTGTCAGTTTGCCAGCGCTGAAAGTTCAAGCTCAGGGAATGGTCAACTGGCCTGGGCAGACAATGTGCTGATATGAAATGTTTTAAAGTAAAAGGGTGTAATTATTTCCATGACATGAAAATGGCAGACAATATTAGTGTTGGAGTAAATCTTTTCAAGACCCTTTGCCAACAAAATAAGTAATTCTAAGAGGCAGGTAGTATATCTTTTTAATGGGTCATTTCTACTGATAATAGGTGCAGTTTCATATTCATTTACGTGCACCTTGTAGGCAAGACCTGCTTCCTATGGGACCAGTGTAAAAGTCTTAACCAGCACACTGAGACAGTGCTCTCCTCAACGGTTTAAAAACAAACAAACTGTGGGTGCATCTTCCTGTTCACCAACAATTATAGGCTTCCTAACGCCATGCGTTGTAAATTGTGCGGTTAAGGCCCCCAGTAGTGCCAGTCAGTTAAGTACTTCCTCAGAGTCCATTCTAAGACCCAATAGGCACTTGATAAGACACTGGTTGATAAGGAGGCATCCTTCTTCCTCTAGTTATTTGAGATTTGGGTCTGGGCTTTTGTGGAACTCTCAGCTGATACATATCAAACAGTTGGGCCTTGTCTGTAATTAATCCAGAGAAAGCCGCAGAGGCGGCCTGTGGTGGCACAGAACAAAAGCAGAGCCTCAGTTGAACTGGCAGAGCAGTAGAAGTCTCCGCCCAAAGAAGGGCTTGCCTGTTATTCTGAAGTCAACATCAGATCCTGACATATCCGCAACATCAGCCAAAGTCAACTGTTATATCTGCAAACAGAAGTAACACTGGGAGGTAGAACAAAGCTCTTCAACCTACATGTTTTGTTCCTTCCAGGACAAGGAGCATTAACTGAACGAGGATATGGCAGCATCTATTACACATCAAGAAACCAGAATGCGGAGGAGAAAATCTATCCTTGAAATCCTTTAGCTCTGCTTTCCTGCGTTTTTGGGTCTCCCAAAAGAATTCTGAATAGCTGACACACCCAGTAATCATCTGGTTGGTAGGCAACAGCCATTTCCTCTTGATGTAGCAGGCTGTTCAAGACAGAGTGCCAAGTTCCACTTAAAATCAATTATAAACAGCAAATGAATTTCTAAAACATGCCCAGAAGCCACTGGAACTTGAGTAGACATTCTTGATACCTAAAGGGAAGGACTAGGGTGCCAGACTAGAATTCATAAAGATGCTCAAGACCTATAGTAGAACATATTCTGCGTCAATA